ATATATATATATATAATATATATATATTTATACAAAAGGAGACACCTTTATAGGGAAAAAGGAGACACCTTTATAGGGAAAAAGGAGACAATTTATAGCAAAAAGAAGGAGACACTTCTTTACACAACAGGAGATACTTTATAGCAAAAAAGGAGACACTTTATAAGAAAAAAGGGAACATTTCTTAACAGAAAAGGAGACACTTTTCTATAAAAAAGGAGACACCTTTATAGGGAAAAAGGAGACACTTTATAGGGAAAAAGGAGACATTTTATAGGGAAAAAGGAGACACTTTATGGGGAAAAAGGAGACACTTTATAGGGAAAAAGGAGACACTTCTTAAGAGAAAAAGGAGACACTTTTCTATAAAAAAAGAGACACTTTATAACAAAAAAGGAGACACTTTATAACAAAAAAGGAGACACCTTTATAGTAGGAAAGGAGACACTTTATAGTAGAAAAGGAGGCACCTTTATAGTAGAAAAGGGGACACCTTTATAGTAGGAAAGGAGACACCTTTATAGTATAAAAGGAGACACTTTTTTTCTTATAAAAGGAGACAGTTGTTAAGACTGTCTCCTTTTTTTTTCCTATAAAAAAAAAGGAGACAGTTGTTAAGAGAAAAGGAGACACTTTATTGACTAAAAGGAGACACTTTATTGTCTGCATGTACTGTTGTTGCTTCTCCTTCTTTATATGCTGCTGTTGCTGCTGCTGCTGCTGCTGTTGCTGCTGGTTTGTGTGTCTGTATACAGGTATCCTCTGACTGTCTCCTCCCTATTGGTACAGAGATGAGTGTCTTACACTTTGTGCCTGGCCAATGGTGTTTTGTCTCCGGGTGGTCAACAGCAAAAGGATTCCAAGGACCTGTTAAGAGATGGGGATTTAAAGGTCTGCTGCTGCTGCTGCTGCTGCTGCTGCTGCTGTTGCTCTTGTTGTTGTTGCTGCTGCTGCTGCATATGTATTTGCATGCGGGTGCGCATATGCATCATCTTGTTTATTACTGCTCTTGTTATATATTTGTTGTTGCTGTTGAGTATCTATTTGCTACATCCTTCCCTGCTGCTGCTGTATATGTTGCACCTACTGGTACTGCTGCAGTTGTTACTGCTGCTGCTGTTGCTGCTGCTGCTGCTGCTGCTGCTTTAGGCCAGAATGCCAGTCATGGTACAGAGAGCAAGGCTCATCGCTCTCATGGTAGTGTTGGACAAAGTAAGAGTGTTAATGTTGTATGGAGATTTAAGAAGATGAGCGGACATCATGGACCAGATCCTAGGGTTGTTAATTGCCAAGTATTCAGGGTACAGACAGATAGGAATCTTATCTTCTTAAAGGGTAAGAATATATATGCATGCATGCATGCATGCATGCATGCTCGTACGCATGCATGCACGTGTGCAATGCCGTTCCATTCATCCCTCATTCATACATGTATGAGGCACAGGGCCACAAAAGGAAAGAAAAAAAGAAATAAATAAATAAATAAATAAATAAATAAATAAATAAAGAGACAGAAATTGAGAATAGAGAGAGGGAGATGGGATAAAGTAGCGAAATGGGAATGCATGCAACCGAAAAAAGCCCCAAAACAGATAGACGCAAATATATGCCTATTCATTCAACGACTGTGCTGCTGCTGCTGTTGCTGCATGTGCTGCATCTGCTGCTGTTGCTGTTGCTGCTGTTGCTGTTGCTGCTGTTGCAGGTTGTGTGCCTGGTCAAGTAGGATCAGTAGTAAAGATAAGTGATGCAAGAGGGAAGACACATCATCAACGTAATAGGAATATTTCTTTACCTTTTCCTACCTTTGTACCTAATATAGATAAGGAATATCCTCTCGTTATTAATAGAGAAGATAGTAAACAAGATCCATTTGCTTATCCAGAGATACCTATCTATGATAAAGATGAGAGTTAATCACATATATATATATATATATATATATATA